CTGACACATTGTAACTGATTATACTTCAGTTTAAAAATAAAACAAACAAACAAACAAGCAGACAAATCATTGTGTGCGCTGGCCTTCCACAGCCTTAAGATAACACGGGCTTTGTGCTCTGCAGAGGTGGCAGGAAACTAGCCCTTTAGAGAAAGTCCAGAAATTTCACTCTAGTAAACAGCTCTCCCAGGGTCTTTAAACAAACAAACAAACAAAACCCACGGAAAAGAATCTCAACTGAAAGTCAGGGCAGACAGCTGACGAAACAAGAACATTTCGTCCTCAGGATATGTTCAAAGCACACAGTGTCTTATTTGTGGCTCAGAAAATTTTACTGTTTTAAAACAAGAGTGACATGCCACCTCGGTGATTTCAATATTAAACACTCATTGCCTGGTGCACTGGCAGGGAACTGCTGTTTTCTTTCGCAAGCTAAAGCCCTCAGACTTTTTGGAGAAATAAAATTAACCGAGCTTTAGAGTTTTCCCTGTTTAACTTTTCTTCCTTTCAACTCTGGCCAAGTGTACCTTACAACTGTGAGAGTGGAAGGGTTTAAGTCAGGTGCCCTGGCATCTGGAAATGAAGGGACACTCTTTATATAATTCAATATTAAAGAGGAAATGAATGAGAGAGTGAGAAATTGGGGAGACTGTGGTGCAAACAGAACGTATGACATCCTTCTTCCCCTGCAAACCCCCCACTGGCTCCTTATCCCACAGTGGGAGCCCCAGCGCTGTGTGTTGCCAAATCACTTCACCTTTGTGAAAGGAGAAATGAAGCTGGTGATGCAGACCAGACCAGCGTCAGCGAACAGCTTGGCCACCTCGGCAATCCGGCGGATGTTTTCCTCTCTGTCCCAGGGAGAGAATCCAAGGTTTTTGTTGAGGCCGTGACGGATGTTGTCCCCATCGAGGGAGTAGCAAGGGATGGCGTGGGAGACGAGATACTCTTCCAGAGCAAAACTGATCGTTGTTTTTCCAGCACCAGAGAGACCTGTTCAGAACAGGCAAGACAAGACTGGCATTGTCTCTGATTGTTGAAGGTGATAAAGTGTGCCCTGATCCTAATTGTGAACTGATCCTAATTTTTACCTAATTCAAGTGTCATTACAATCATTTGATTGACTCCAAATCCAAATCATTTGTATCTAGAAAAAGCATAGTTTACTTACAAGTCAATTACTTCTACTTCTTTCAAACCTTGAAAAAACTATTTGTCCCTTATTAGGATTATAGACTTTCAAAGCAAAAGGGGTCCATCCAATAGAGAGACTTTGGAGGGGATACGCATGGTCCTTGGTGTGTCCAGTTTTATCTGCAGAGTGCTTTAAAGATTAGAAAGTTGTGCAAACAAATCCAGATTTTGGCTTCTCTTGAAAAAAATCAGAAGACCTGTGACAATGTTCTCATATCCCCTTGTGACAGCCATCAGCCAGAGTGGAGGGGACAGCCAGCCCTTGGAGTCCACCTTCCTTGCAGATGCTGCCAAACAACCATCTGGCAACAAAGCCCACATACTGTCCTTTTGCCTTCAAGGTTTTTCCAAAATGACTCTCAAAACATGAAGACAGGGGACCCTCCTCAGCTGGGCTGCAGACGTAGTTAGAGCTGCCATATGCTCTTAGATGTTTGGAGTCTTTATATGAGAGCAGAGTTACCACATGCCTTTTACCATAGTTTCAAAGCACAATGATTGGGAACACACTTTATAATTTCTATATGAGGAAGAACGTAAGGAGGAAGGGAAAGAAATGCTACATGCCAAAATTACTTAAGACAGTAAAACCTGAACTGCCCTGGAAAAGCAGCACCGTTAAAATTCAGTTGTCCGAAAGATCTCTGAACCTGAAGCATATTCCATGGTGCCAAGCCACAGTCAGACGGCACCCAGGGTGGAAGAGGAAAAGTTGGATTGAGCAGCAGGCAGAAAAGGAAGTCAGAAAGTTGTCAATACAGAGAAAACAGCAGGAGTAAAGAGGAAACAGACAAAAGAAGTAAGAGAAAGCAGGGCTGCAGGACTGAGACGAGACTTGAAAAGAAAGGTGATCTCTGATAGGTAAACAAGTCATTTCCATATTTTCAGTTGTGTTTTAAAGTCATGCCCTTGGCTTTGGCAGAGTATCATTAGAAAAAGTGGTTCCACAAAGACCGTGTTGGCAATCTTTGTAAATCTTGAAGACTCTGTCTATTACATTATTATGTAACTCAATTTCATTTGAATAAAGACTAGTGTGACAAATGCCTCTTAAAATGTACGTCCAGCTGTGAGGCAGGAGAAATGGAACTCCTGAATCTCTGGTACGGTCTCTTATGTCAGAAAACAAGAGAAATAATAGAAACTTCCTTCTATTTTGCTTCAGTTCTCATGAAACTAAACGCTAAATCACAGTAACTATATTAAACCAGGCCATTGACATATTTATTTTAATACATTGGGGTAACACCAATTACATCCACTGAGAGTTTTACTAGGGGCCAGGCCCTGTGCTAAGTGCTTCATTTCATTTAGTTCTACCTACACCTCTATGAGGCAGGGACTGTCCTTATTCTCATTTTACAGATAAGGAAACTGAGACTTAGAGAGGTTGCTTGGCTTGTCCAAAGTCACACAGCTAATGCAGGTGGAGCTGGGACTCAAATTCAAGTCTCCGGGTTTGAAGTGTGCGGTTTCTTCCAGTCTCCCTGGTCAATATCCAACCTCTCTAATATGAGAATGAAAAATAAAGTAGGACAAGATGATTTTCGAGGGCAAGACAGGGGAAGTATACCCTTGAGACTTTTTTTTCCTCTTCTACCAGTTCTTTTTTTCTTCTTCTTCTTCTTTTCAGGGGTGTTTCACATTTGGCAAAAGGGATTCTGTATGTCCCAATTCAAAATTTGGACAAACACATGAAGGCAAAACATCCCATGAAGGCAAACACATAGCAAGAGGGAGACGTCTGGAGCGCAGCTGTTTTATTCACTGCTGCACAGTGTGTCTCTCCGAGGGCGCTGGGGGAGACGGTTCAGGAAGTGTGACCCGAGAATCCTGCCTTTTGGGATACAGCAGGCTCCTTGCCCCCTGTCCAGCCTCACCCTGGAAGCTGGGAAGGGTTGCTGTTCCAGAGATGAATAAAATCAGGAGAACAAAGGCAAGTGCCACAGGCACTAGGAAATGGCTTGAATGAGAAGAGGCTCCTGCAGACAGGAACAGGAAAGGCCCAGAACAGAAAGAAAAGATGCAAGCAGGTCCCTGCTTGTCGTGCTCTTTACAGTTATCTCCAGGTTAGAATAAATCAGCATTTGGGAGCAGACAGGAACACAGAAGTTGATTTCATAACCTGGATAAACATATCTTGGCATCTGGGCTCATCCCCACTTGAAATACTATGTCTACAAGATGAACTTGTTTTTTTCCTGTTGAGTCCAGGTTATGTCTAATTCCAGTTCTGTCACTAACCCTTAACTTTGACATTCTGGGGCTATAAAACGCAACAAAAAGGGACATTCATTTGGTCATCTCAGTGGGAGTGAGTTATTTTTCTATACAAGGGATAGTCCTCAGCTACACAGAAATCACTAGTTTTTTTCGTCTTGCATAGATTTTAATTTTTGTATAAATAAGTGAAATAGCCCCCCCTAGAGTGTTAAAATCTCAGAAAACAATAAAGAATATCTCTCACGGACAGCCAAATGCTTGATGTCAAATTCGGAGAGCCCCATTCATACCTGCCAGTGAGTGTGTTTAGGCATGAAATTGACAGTGATGGTGCCCCTTAGAGCCAGAAGGGAATATCCTAATCAACTTGGCCCAACCTTTCCTGCCAAAGAGGTGAAAACGGAGAACTGGAGACATTCGGTGACTTGATGCAAGTCCTACCTCTCACTGATGGGTAGAGGTAGGACTTGGGAAACACCCAAGCTTTCTACCACAGCTCTTCCCCTGCTAAAGTTAAGCACTCAGTGTGTGTCATCTGTTACAGTAATCTCCTTAAAATTGTGTGTCACCATCAATTTTCAATTAAAAAAAAAATATGTCGACAAAACATACCTGTGAGCCACACGGTGCACCCTCGGAATCCGCCCCTGGTTCCTACCACCTGCCCTCGCTTGTTCCTGCTCACGTGGTGGGCCTGATAGACAACATTGGTGGATTTCTGCTGGTTCCCCTACAAAACCAGAGCAAGCACAATGTGTGAGCAATAAAATAATAAATCTGCAGATACTAGCTACTATATATAAAATAGATAAACAGCAAGTTCATAGTGTATAGCACAGGGAACTATATTTAGTATCTTGTAACTTACAGTGAAAAATATGAAAACGAATGTATGTATGTTCCTATATGACTGAAGCATTGTGCTGTACACCAGAAATTGACAGAACATTGTAAACTGACTATACTTCAATAAAAATATATTAGAAAAAAATAAATTATAAATATCCTCAAAAATAATAATAAATCTACTATGTAAAAATATAATAAAAGAACAGATTACATTAATAGTCTTCCCTAATTGAAACTCCTCTTTTATAATTGGCATACAGACTAACCATTAATTAATTCCACTAACTTACACACTGCCTTTAGAATACCCATCGTGCCGGTTGGAAAGTATCATTTGAATGAGACAATTACTGATATGATGTAAAAGGTCTGGTTTGGTGACATTTTAAATGTGCACCTTTAGGTCACAATGAGGCAATGTCTTTGTTTCTATAAATGCATGTCCTCCCCAAGTCCTACAGGCATGAAGTGAAAACAACCCCAAAACCTGCGCCACTGAGGGATCACTACGGTGAGGCTGGCTGGGCCCCACTCTCTAAAGATCCCGGGAGAAGCTCAAATCCCAGAATGAAGGGTGAACGTTGGTCATTTCCCTCCTGCTCCCGCAAGACATCAGACCCCGGGGACTTAAGAGTTTAGTCCCTTTTCACAAGCACTAAACTCTGTGTCCGCTTTCCCTAGGGTCAGTGTATGAACTTTATAATCTTTCAGAAAGCCCTGCAGGAATGGAAATGCATCCACTTAGTCTTGGAAGCTAATTCAAATCTCGAATGTCTTTATTTTAGCTGTAATAAAATCAGCCCTGTGAGGGCATGGATTATCTGATCCTGAGCCTAAACTCTGATTGGAAGGTACATTATCTGACGAATAAAAAAGGTAAAATGAGTCAATAAATAGTTTGTGGGGGACATTTTTTTAAAGTAACATGTGATCCAAGTTGGCGTGGGGCAGGGGAAACCTATACTGCTGGTTAAATTAAAAGGTTGGGAACTACCCATGTCTTTGGCTTGGTAATCAAATTTCTAATGACAGATGTAATCCAAGTTGCTGTGAAAATCTACGAAGTCTTTTAAATTCTCTTTTTTTTGTGGTGGGGGGAGGTCATGAAGTCTTTTAAACATCACAAAAATACACACACCAGAGCTGAGAAAGCACTAATATGCTTTGAGCAAGACCCAGAGAGTCTTAGAAAACTCTGGGTCACAGGAGGACAACTTTTAGATTCTGGAACAAATTAAATCACCTCTTGATGCCTTTCCTTTGGGGGGAAAAATGAAAGGGGAATATAAATAGGACTGTTTGCAGGCTCATATGAGATAATGGATGTGAACAGGCGCTGTAGATGGCCGAGTTCTCTACGAATGTGGACGCTGACGACGATTATTCAGTGTGTGGCTCCAGTGGGAGAGGAGGGAGCCAGCTGGATTAGGACCAAGGAAACTGGCTTCCAGATCAAGGAGGAAGGAGCCCCCTGCTGGCCCTTGGGGGTTCAGAAAGGCATTGGGGGTGAGCCTGAGACTAAGACACAGAGCCCAGCAAAGGAGCCAGTTGGCAGGGACCGGCATTATCAGTGTCAGAGGCAGCCAAGAGGAAGGTTTTGAAAGCTGGGATCAGATGGGTGAAGTTACATAAAACTCTCCAAGGCTAGAGGCTCTGATTATCCATCAGGTGAACTTGGTCGGAACCCAGGACTTCAAAGGGGGTCAGGACGTAGTCACAGAATGCAGCAAACTATACAGCCAGCGGCAGCTTGCACGAAAAGGTCCATACATGGGGACAAATGACGCTAGTCCATGAGCTAGTCTAGCAGTATTTCCCTGGGTGAACAAATCCCCTGAAGGTGTCTGGAGTCTTCTGTGCCAAGTATACTTTATAGCTCAAGGATAACATTAAAATTTCATTTCTCTCTATTTCCTTGTTAATCGCAGCCATTAAATTTGAGAACCCTGTATCTGAATAGCAGGCCCAAAAGTCAGTTCATCTGTTCATTCACGACTCTTTCAGTAAATTTTCATGTAAATGAGCTCGTACTAAGTGCCAAGGGCCATCCTGGGCACTGGGAACATAGCACTAAACGAGGCAGAATCTCTGGCATCATTTTGGGGGTATATACAGACAAAAAGGTCAAGTAACTGGGCCCCACTCCCAGAAGAGAGAGTGGGTCTCATACACATAGCTCAGTACCAAAGTGCATGGCTGTTAGCATAACTGACAGCATCTTGGACCCTCACAGCCTCTCCTATCCTTCCGCTACCCTACCCAGGACTGTACTGTGCAGTGGCTCACTTCTGTGTCATCAAGAGCTTTGTAGTTAATAGATGTTGTTTAATAATCATTAGGACAAGGTGACCTCTATGCACTGTTAGTCCTTAAACAATGATGAAAACCTTTGCTGACATACTCCTGACGCCCACGAAACCAGTTACGCATCGATAAATTTCAAGTTAGAAATGCATGTCCTGTTTCCAAGCACCTACTCCTTTACACTAGGCTAACTGTAAAATTGTCCCAAGAGTCCCTCAGTGGTATGGAGTGCAGCTGCGTTTGCTTCTGGATCGTTGTTGGCCCGATTCCGATCCCACCCTGTAAGTTATCCTATCATATACTGATCCATCGTCATATGGAGCTACCTGCCTGGTCTTTTCAGTCTCAAGATGCTACCCCAGCTCAGTGGGCACTTTGCATTCCCTCCATCCTCCAATGTGAAAATACATAAAGAACGGCTGCAATTCCACAATAAAGAAACAACCCAATTTTTTTTTAAAGGGGCAGAAGATTTGAACAGTCGCTTCACAAAGGAAGACACACAAATGGCCCATAAGCACATGAAGAAGTGCTCAATGTCATTAGTCATGAGAGAAATGCAATTTAAAACCAAAAAACGAGATGCTACTGATAACAGCTAACGTCAGCAAGGATGTGCTCTCATGTGTCGACAGTGGAGGTGTAAAGTGATCCAACCATCCCAGAAAACAAAAAAAACCTAGCAGTTTCTTACAAAACTAAATATTTACCTCTCTTATGACTCAGCAATTGCATTCATGGAGAAATGAATACTCAGATCCACAAAAAGATTTGTACAAGATTATTAGCAACTTTTTTGGGCAAAAACTGGAAATAACCAAGGTCTATCAATAAGAAAGTAGACAATAAAAACAACAGAGACAAAACAAACCCCCCAAATTGTAGAATACTTATGTAATGGAACATTAATCAGTAATAAAAAGGAATGGACAACTGATATATGCAACACAGATGATAATAAATGCAAACATTTTGCTGAGTCAGAGAAGTCGTACACAGAAAAGCTACATATGATTCCATATGAAGTCCCCCAACAGGGAAAACTAATTTACCAAGTCAGAACAGCAGTTGCCTCCGGGTGATGGCAATGCTATGCATCTTAGTAAGGGTTTGAAGTACACAGGTGTTCGCATTTGGAACTTATAGAATATACACTTAAGATGGGGATTTCATCATATGTAAACTTTACCCATGCAAAAATAGAGCCATTTTTTTTTAAAAAGTAGGCAAACAAGAAACTACCTAATAAGATTCAGATGGTGGAATGAAATTGTTCAGCCCTGCTGCATTTGTGGAAAAGGGCTCTGATCCCATCACAGCAGATTTGACTTCAGCGGCTGCTGCCCACCCGTGCACATGAATGCCCACCAGGACTTAATTTGTCCACAGAGATGGTTTTTCCCCTCTCTTCTGGCTGCTCTTCTCCCTACAGGCTGAGATCCAGAATAAACTCCAGGCTTTGTTAGTCTTCCGCAGAAACTTTCTTATCATCTTGTTAATTGCCTCCCCAACAAGTGCTTGGTTTCCAAAAACATCAGGACCCACCGGAAGGAACTACCCTAAAACAGTATATAATAGTTAATCTCTGAACTTTTGGTTTTTATTAACTGCATCTTAATCATGAGTGTTCAGATTTTCTATCACTCCAGAAACATTTTAAACAAACAAACAAAATCTTTTCAGATGGCCAGGTACTGGGAAGTTTTTTTTTGTTTCAGGAAGATATTTTGCTTCCTATTTATCTCAAATTTACCCTTGATTTTTCTCCAAAAGGCAAACAAATAAAATAGAAGCAGATGTTCTGAAGGCTATTTGAACTGCAAAGGGGTGGAGCAGCTGAACGCTTTCCTTTTCCTTGCTGAAAACTTTACTCCCGTCTGTAGTGCATACGGTGTTCTAGGCTTTGGAAAGAAAGTGACTGTCAGAAAAAGGATTCTTTGGAAAATAAAACACATGCTAAAGAAAAATGCTTGCCTCCCTGTCTGTAGAAACACAGTACACCTCTCTAACACTGTCACTTAGCAGGAAGTGGCCCAGAAACCACAAAGTTGGTGGCATACTTCTATTCTGGGTCCCCAAGAAAAAAAAATTGGCAAAAATCCCTATCTTCTTCCAGGTCTCTGGCCCAGAAAGACCCCCTCCAGCACTCACAGATGGAGCATGAGTACGGGTTTTGGGGTCATGCAGACCTGGGTTTGAAACCCACTTCACAACCTACTTGCTCTGTGACCCTGGGCAGGTGATTAACATCATTGATCCTCCATTTCCTCCTCTGTAAAATGGGACTAAGTATAGTTTCCTCATAGGGTTGTGGAAAGGATTAAGTAAAATAATTTTATATATAAAGTAAAAAAAAATACAGGACACATGGTAAGATATTGGATCCGATGTGGTCCAGGTGGCATCAGTCTACTCTAGAGACATCACAGTAGTTTGAGATCTGAGTCACCCAGATTTAGAAGTGTTCTCTAAGGTGAATCTGGGGAGGTGGGGCCCGTGTTCAAATCAGACCATGAATAGGACAGCATTTGGTAGCGGCTGAGTCTCACACACACACATTCAAGAGGATGCTGTTTT